GAAACCAACTTGTTTCCACGCCCTTTCATCGTCGTTTTTCTTCCCCAATTAAGTCGCAAGCTTAAAGTAAAGAAAAGAAACAATCGAAACCAACTTGTTTCCACGCCCTTTCATCGTCGTTTTTCTTCCCCAATTAAGTCGCAAGCTCCCGCCACCGAGTGTGTCGTTTATGCTTCATTAACTGTCTAATTTGGTCTAGCTCGACGCGGAACCAGGAATTATTTCCGCAAAACCTCCGACAAAAGAAGACATTGGAAGCTTTAGGCGAAGATTACGTCGCTCAAGAATCTTAGCCGGAACTTTATTACACTAGACTGGAACTACCTGTGGGCGTCAACAGATGGAAAGAGCAAATTAAGTTTTCTTTCCAGACTGCCTCTCCCTGAAACGCTTTCTGGCACAGTTCCTAAAGCGTACAACGTTGGTTAGGGATTTTTGGGGTTGCTGGGTTTTTTCTTACGCAAGACGAAATCTAAAGATGATTTGGCTGACTTAACCGAGGAAATGAAAAGTAATTAATTTGTTTATTTAGGCCTACTTATTTTTGCGTTTTGTTTATTTTATTATTATTTGTTTTTGTTTTTTCGTTTGTTTGTTAATGTACTTTACGGCGAGGCCGGCATCTGCTCTAATTGCTGTCGTACGCAGAAGACCATAGTTCGATTTTCTTTTGGGGAGAATGTATATCAAGTATCTTCCGTCTTTGTGCTAGTACCTTGTACCCTTCACAGCCGTCGTCAGCTGAAACCACACAGTTGTGAAGCGTTCCTTTTACGTTGTCACCGATCACTCTGCGATATATTGGAGCCAAAGCTTGAGAGTAAACGGTCGCTTTTAAGCATAAGGGGGCTATCCTAAAAAATGATGTTTTCAGAAAATCGAAGGTAAAGTTCTTGGACCTTTGTTCAGTTTCTTCAAAGGACAAGGAGAGTTTTCTCTATAACCAAACAAATATGCAGGTCAATGAAACCAAACGTCTATTATAGGTAGGGCAATGCCAACCTTTGGTGTAGGTCAAGATTTCTGGAAACCCCCGAAATCTGGGTTACCCCGCTTGTCTTTAAAAGCAACCAAATTTTAATCCTGTAAGCCTCTATCCACATTGTTCAAACGCCAGTGTTAGCGTATCCGGGTAGCGACCGAAAAATTTTCTTCTCTAAATTTGTCTCCTTTCACCTCCTTTCCTGCTCTCTAGCAATGTTCTGTCGTCTGCTTTCATCTCCTCT